AGTACCTTGGTGGTGAGGTTGAGTCCCACGGCGGTCGCCAGGGCCGTGCCGGTGGCGGTGACGTAAGCCACCCCGATTTGCCTAGACAGCGATTACAGGAGGGAAAACTCGAACTCAGCATTTCCCAGGCTGCCTGAACCAGCGCGCAGCCTGGGGGAGGATGGGACACCCCGGCAGGCTGGCTGCGGTTCCCACCCATGGAGCGTTGCCACCTGGCCGCGGCCCCAGCCTAAGGCAGGAAGCACAGCCTAGTGGTTAAGACGTAAGCCACCCCGATTTGCCTAGACAGCGATTACAGGAGGGAAAACTCGAACTCAGCATTTCCCAGGCTGCCTGAACCAGCGCGCAGCCTGGGGGAGGATGGGACACCCCGGCAGGCTGGCTGCGGTTCCCACCCATGGAGCGTTGCCACCTGGCCGCGGCCCCAGCCTAAGGCAGGAAGCACAGCCTAGTGGTTAAGGCACAGGACTGCGAGGCAGGGAAACGGAGTTCAGTTCCCAGCTTGATTCATCTTCCCATGCCTCCGCTACCCCCTCTGTGAAATGGGTCGATATTACACCGCTCAGCGCGCGGACTGTGCTTGCCGACCCTCTGTGAACGCCAGAGCATCCTTCCAAGGAGCTGAAATCCTGCAGCTCACGACGTGCCCCGGCTGGGAATCCAACTCCCCATCGCTCCCACTGTCCTCAGTTTCCCCTCGTGCCTTCTCCGCTAGGAAGGCTGGTGCGCTCCAAAGACCCACAGCCCCCAGAGGGCAGCAGCCCTGGCACATGCCGCTCTGCGATACAGGGCACGAGGGCAGATCACTGCCCCTGCAGAGCCGAATGGACCTGGGGGACCACAGTGCCCTGGTGTCACAAGGCAGGATGAGGGGCTGGTGGCACCGGGCGTCCAGCGTGGTAGTTCTCACGGCAGCAGAAGGGTTCAACCAGGCTAGTGACCGGTCCCCTCCATGGGGGTGGCGGAAGGACTGTTCCCCCCTTGCTGGTCCCAGCTGATGACCTCCTGCTAACGCAGAGCTTGGGGGGGGGCCCTCTGGGTGCGTATGTGTGGATGTGCACCACCCACAGAAACACGGTGGGGAAGGTAGAGGAATCTAGGTCGTGCCTTTGACTCTGCCGTGGGGCTGGTCCTGGGCATGGCGACAGCAGCTCTACGCCAGGGCACAGACAGCGGAGCGATGCCACGGCCCGGAGAGCAGCCCAGCGCACCCAGCCTGCAGGGAACGGGCTGGGTTGCTCCGCAGGGGTACCCCCCAGGGCAGCGTGCGGACAGCAGGCGCCTGGTGACAGGGTGGATGCCTGGGGGCTCTGGGGCGAGGCGGGAGCAGATACTCACGTGAGCGAGATGGGGCTGGCTGCGTTCCTGTTGGTGTAGTTCACCAGGGCGTTGAAGGACTGGTTCACCCACTGCCAGAGCAGCACCGCGGGGGTCGTCCTGCGCAGGGGGAGAGCACGTCACAGGCTGGGCAGGGAGCAGCCCGAGGGGATGGGCGGGAATGGGCCCCGAGGGGGCGCTGGAGAGGTTTGGGGGAGTCCCCACCCCGGGGCCAGCAGGGGGCGCTGGAGGGGTCCGCCAGGGCACAGACAGCGGAGCGATGCCACGGCCCGGAGAGCAGCCCAGCGCACCCAGCCTGCAGGGAACGGGCTGGGTTGCTCCGCAGGGGTACCCCCCAGGGCAGCGTGCGGACAGCAGGCGCCTGGTGACAGGGTGGATGCCTGGGGGCTCTGGGGCGAGGCGGGAGCAGATACTCACGTGAGCGAGATGGGGCTGGCTGCGTTCCTGTTGGTGTAGTTCACCAGGGCGTTGAAGGACTGGTTCACCCACTGCCAGAACACCACCGCGGGGACCGTCCTGGAGGGGGCAGATGCCAGAGCTCAGCCCGTGCATGTCCCCCTCTGCCCCCCAAGTCACAGGGCTGAGCTAGCCCCTTCCACAGGCCGGGGAGCTACCACTGGCTGCCACCATGACACTGCACTGCTCGAGACAGGCCAGTCCAAAGCAGGCTGCGACGAGCTTCCAAAGGATCTCGCAAAACTAGGCGACTGGGCAACAACACGGCAAGTGACTGTGAATGCTGATAAAAGCAGAGTAAAGCACACTGGAAACAGAATCCCACCCATACGTATAAAATCAGGGGGACTAGTTTAGCTATAGCCACGCAAGAGACCTTGGAGTCACTCTGGATAGTTCTCTGAAACCAGCTACTCCGTGTGCAGCAGCCGTCAAAAAAGCAAACAGCATGTTAGGAATCATTTAAAAAGGGATAGAGGATACCTTATTGCCTCTGTATAAATCCCTGGTATGCCCCCATCTCGAATACTGAGTCCAGATGTGGAGGCCTCATCTCCAAAGAGATATCTTGGCAAAGTTCAGAAAAAGGGCAACAAAAACGATGAGGGGTTTGGAACGAGGAGAGATTCATAAGACTGGGACTTTTCAGCTCAGAGAAGAGGAGAATAAGGAGGGGGAATGTGATAATAAATGCTTACAGTATAGATCTTTCTCCACACTAGTCATAAGGAAGTTAGTTACTTGTTCCCATACAACAAACTAGGGGTACCAAATAATATTGGTAGCAGATTTGAAACAAAGAAAAGGAAGTGTTTCTTCACACAACGCACAGTCAACCTGTGGAACTCCTTGCCAGAGGATGCTGTGAAAGCCAGGACTTTAACAGGGTTCAGGAAGAACTAGATAGATTCATGGAGGTTAGGTCCATCAATGGCTATTAGCCAGAAGGTGTAGGAATGGTGTCCCTAGCCTCTGTCAGAAACTGGGACTGGTGACAGGGGAGGGATCACTTGATTCCCTGATCTGTCATTTCCTCTGGGGTACCTGGCATTGGCCACTGTGGAAAGACAGGATACTTGGCTAGATGGACCTTTGGAGTGACCCAGTCTGGCTGTTCGTATGTTCTTAGAATATTCTCCTCGAATGAGATACGGGGGACACTGAGGAAGGCAAATATGGGGGCACCTTTTTAATTCCACTGAACCACACTAGAACAGGGAGGTTTTTTCAAGGGCAAGAAAGGAAACATGCTACAGATTAGGAACGGCCTCTCCTCAACATTAGCCCTTGCTGGCAGCGGTGGGATCTGGGATTTCAGAGGATACAAAGGAACCAGGAGGGGCTAGTTTTAAAAAAAAAAAAAAAAAGTGCAGAGAGCACCCAGGACTGGCTCTGGGTTAATAATTAAAGGACTTTAATCAACAACAGAATCTGTTAATAAGACAAAGAAGAAAAACAAGGAGAGAGAAGCAAAGGACAGAAGTGGTTTTAATTGGGCAAAGGACTCATTTTTTGCTCAAATATTTGGATGTGTTAGAATCTGGGGGAGAAAGGAGGGATTTAAAAATCAAACAAAATAAATGTAAGCGGGACTTTAAAACGGTGCCTTTGCACTGGATTTTAACATTTCCTTGCTGGGTTGCAGGCCACTAACCCGCCATGCGGCGCTGGAACTGGACAGTGAAAGGGATCAGAAGGCAGGAGAGTGAAACTGACCAGTCTGCCTTTCACTCCCCTTAGAAACTAACAGCCCCAACACAAAAAGATGAACGGCAGAAACAGCTGCAAGGAAGTTCACTTGCTGTAACCTCAGAGCAAGGACACATTCCCTCCATGAGCTCCAGGTTTCTACGGGGACGGTAGTAAGAGCAGGGCCTGAAACAAGCCCGAGTATCACACCTGGGTAACAACAGTCAAGACTTGGCTACTATCAAGCTAAGCGGAGCTGTGAGCAAGAGACAGGCCCTGCTAACACAATCTGGCATGAATAGAGCTGACACTCACTGGTACCAGTCCCAGGCCGTACGCACGTTCCAGAGACACGGTAACAACATCTCATTAAGAAGCATCTTGGTACCCTCCCGCCGCCCCACACGTAACAGGGACCTACTGACCCAGGATCAGGACAGGGTCAAACACGACAGCTCGCTGGCTAGGGAGGATTTGATCAAACTACCAGGTGCAAGGGGGTGGGAGGTACTGAGGAAACGTCTGGAGTGAGGTGTAACTTGCTTGTACCTGTGTATAACGGTGGGTCTTGGAGGGGCTGTCTTTGTCTGGCCTAGGGGGCAGCGGGACCTCCCATTGACTGAGCCGGGTCTGTTGTCAGGGGGCACGTAGGTACAAGCAGAACCACAGGCCTCTGATCCAGGGAGCTGGAGCCCATTTCATTTCAAAATAAGCCTGGTGCCTTTGATCCTTATCTGACTGTGGTCTTTGGGGGCCCTCTCGCAGTCTGCTGTGCCGGCCACCTGCACAGAGCCACTGCCACACACAGGGGGAGGGCCAGGGGCGGC